TGCGAAAAATTTACTCTGATGAGCGGGGTGTTACAGTTGGTATCAGAGCTAAAGTTCAAACGCTCTGTATACTAAAAGTTTGAGTTTCAGAAAGAAAATTTTCAAGAAAAAACCGACCACACCACGCTCACACCTCGCCGACTACCAGGTAAGTGCTGTTAAAGTTTTTGCAAAAGTTTATTTTCTTAAATATACGCAAATTACTAAGTCTATGCTCAATAAGATTCAATTATCCGAACCTTATAAATAAAAAAAAATGCCCAGATCAGTAATATTAGATATGTCCTCATATCCGAAATAAGAATTATATTAGAATTCAAGTTGAATTATAGCTTATCAAGTTGATAAGTCGTTAAGAAATTGTGCTTTTCAAGAATTCCGTATTTATTTTCAGTTTAAATACTGATCAAATTCAAGTATACAGATGGCACACTGTAAAGTTTTACATGAGATATTCATTCAGATATAGTTTCTATTTTTGTGACTATAAATTTTTTTTTAAAAGTTCAGGAGATCAAGAAAGTTATCTGAACATTTTAAAGATAAAGACATCAAATTAAAGTTGAATTCTGACTCTAGAAATTGAATTATTTTGAGTATGTACGATGTACGTAAATTAAAGATTCGAAGTAACGGTTTTTCAGTGTATAAGAGCCATAAGTCCAGGTTTATCATGGAGGTTTCAAATAAGAACCATAAGTCCGGATATACCATGGAGGCTTGAAACTGAACCGTACGAGTAAAGTTTAAGAAAGCAGTCAATTTTTAGAGTCAGAATTGAAAGTATACCGAGAAATTTTATTAAGCACTTTTATGAACAAGTTATTAGTACAACAAGGACCAGTCCTACATAGTACATTTTATAAAGTTAATGAGCATGAGTTGCAAGTATCAGTATATATATAAGTCAAGTATTTTCATTATTATCATGGCGACTTGAAATTAGAATCACAATGCCGGGTAATTATCAGATAAAGATCAATGTTCATAACATTTTGAATAATTGTTTTAATAGCTAATTAGCTGGGTAAATTATGGAGGCTTGAAATAAGAGTCATTAATCCGAGTTTACCTAGAAATCTGACAGACATCAGTTATTCAAGTTTCACAATCCAATTTTGAGAGTATCAGTTAAGTCTCTCGAAAGAATTTTTAAAAGTAAAAGTTATTTGGATATGTGAAAGTTGAAGATAGTCTGTTTAATAAGGCAGAGACGATTAAAGTTTCCATTTATATTCGTCAATATCAGAAAAATCTGAAAGGATTCAAGTTTTATTCAAGCACACACTGTTGAAGATTTCACAACTACAAAAGAAGCTATTACAGATTCATGAAATGCAGATATAGAAAAAGTTAATCCTCAACCAATACAAGATAGATATATATATATAAGAAGGGTGCATCTCAAGGGTCTAATACCCCTTAACTCTGCCACCCATATCAGACATCAGAGTTTATAAAGATAAATCCGTTGGATCGAAAGTTCGCTTTCGTTTAACCCTATGAGTTTCCACATAATCTTGAGAAGTGATGTTTTCTTGAAGCTTCTTGATAAGTCCTGTAGCAGTATCTACACATTTGAAGATATCTCTAGTAGAATCAGAAATAAAAGTCTGAATTACACTATCATCAAGAAAACCAAGAAAGCCATTGAAGATATGATGAGAATTTAATAGACCAATGGGTTTATTATGCAGTTTCATGTCAGCCCAAGAAGCAATAGTAAACATGGTCATTAAAGTTTCATAACCACCAGGAAGTATGATGAAAGCATCACTATGGTTCACCATGAACATAGTGCAATCATAAATAGAGTTAGAAAGCATTAGACTGGTAGAATCTTTGAGAACTCTTGAAGGAGTTTTGTGGAATGGTAGAACACTTTTCACTTCAATATCAAAGCCTTTTCCAGCCAAGAGAAGGCTACCAAAGAAAGTGAGGCTAGTTCCTCCATAGAGTAAATTGATCTTTTGTTTTCCCAGTTCTCTTACTAGTTCGGATACAATATCAATATTTTGAGAAGAAGCTACAAGTTTAGAACCACCAAGAACACAAATGGCTTTTATAGATGGAAGAACTTTTGTGACTTGAGAAGAAATAGGAGTCTCCATTTGGAGTAGAGAGATACTCAAATGGGGAAAGGATGGGTTATTTAAAGAAAGAGAATGAGTATTATAATGTTTGATATCGGCAGAAGCAACAGACAGGGGAGCAGTTAAGCATTCAATGAGTTATATTTATCA